AATCAAACAAGAACTTACAAATTTCCAACTTTATTCAAAGGGAATAAAAGGGAAAAGAAAGGGAACTTCAAAGTATATACACAGGCCTGGTACAGTGGCTCACACCTACAAACCTAGCACTCTGGGAGGCTGAGGTGGGTAGATCGCTTGAGCTCAGGAGTTCGAGACCAGCTTGAGCAAGACCAAGACCCTGTCTCTACTAAAAGTAGAAAAACTATCCGGTTGTCATGGTGGTTGCCTATAGTCTCAGCTACTGGGGAGGCTGAGGCAAGAGGATCACTTGAGCCTAATTTCAGGTTACTGTGAGCTATTACGTCTCAGCACTCTACCCTGGATGACAAAGTAAGACTCTCTCAAAAAAAAGTATATACATACAGTTAATATGTATGTTTCATTTCATATAAATAAGAATGTTTAACAAAAAACTAATCCAGATAACAGTGAGTTAACTACAATAATTAAGTACTTTTATATTCAAATCCTCAATTTCTTTTACTCTCAAGTCCTCTTTTCTGGAGGTGGGATGGGGTGGTTTACAGTGGAAAACATCAAATGTATACTTATGTTGAAAAAAAAAAACTGTGCCAAGAGCAGTGGGTCAATCTCAGTGACCTGGAAGGATCACTTGAGGCTGAGAGCTTGAGACTAGCCTGGGCAACATGGCGAGACATCCCACCACCCCCCATCTCTTAAAAATAATGAAAAAAATTAGCTGGATGTGGTGGCACGCACCTCTAGTCCCAGGTACTCAGAAGGACTGCTTGAGCCCAGCAGTTCAAGGCTGCAGTGAGCTACTGCACTCCCAGTGTACTCCAGCCTGGGTGACAGAGCAAGATCCCATCTCTAAAAAAGGGGGTGGGGGGAGAAAAAAGAAACAAAAGCAAAGAAAAAAACTTCAACTACATGCACTTGGCACATGAACAACCCAAGTAATTACACACATCAAACCTGTCTGTATTCCCCTCAACAGAGTTGCTCTAGAGGAGCATTTATTTAGTTGAAAAGCCAGAATTTGCTGCTCCCTCAGTCCTTCCTAGTTCCCACATACCTCTCATCAGGCTGAAGGTGAGTCTAGGGTTGAAACAGATGTTTTATTTCACAAAGAATGACCACTGAATACAGTTCAATTACTGTATTTATGGACATTTAAGACATTTAAGAGAAAACATCCTACACACATTTTACACCTTAAATGCTAAATTTAGAACCTAACACACCCACCACTATGAGTGATACAACTCCAATTAATCACAGAAGTACAAAACATAATCTTCAACCACAAGAGGTTGTGATCTATGTATGTGTAAGATCAATAGGTTATTGGAAATGAGAACCAACTGTTTTTCTTGTCAAGATTGTTATTCCAGGACCTGCTATACTTCATTTCACCGAAAGCTGCAGTTTCCAAGAACCCATCAATGACATTAAGCGAGGACTTACTATGCAGTGCCAACTTCATTAACTGGTACGTTTTGAGGATGCTAAGAATGTGCGAGGCAAGAAAACACTTTGCCCTCTACAACTGTGATTACAGAAGGCAACTATTATGACCAGTCATTGGTCACAGGCAAAAACATTAATCTAGATTAGTGTTTTTCAACCTTTTTTTAATCTCATGGCACACTTGAACCTATAGTTAAACTTCTGCAGCACACTTAAATTATGTTGATCAAAAAAAAGAATATACTTACTGTGCTTTGAACTTCTTTTGAAAATAATTTAATTAATGATCTTTAAAAATTTTAGTGGCATACCAGTGTGCCAAGGCACAGTGGCTGAAAAAATCACTGATCGGCTCAGCACCTATGGCTCAAGCAGCTACGGTGGCACCACATACACCTGAGCTGGTGGGTTCAAATCCAGCCAGGACCCACCAAACAACAATGACAGCTGCAACCAAAAAATAGCTGGGCATTGTGGCGGGTGCCTGTAGTCCCAGCTACTTGGGAGGCTGAGGCAGGAGAATCGCTT